ATTAAAAAACCCATGTGAAATAGTAATTAGTGACGAAAATAGAAAAATAAATCAATGTCTCCGAAAAAACTTGGTTTTCAACAAAACACTAACATTCAATGTGGAAAACATTTTTTCATCGCAATAATAATGTTTCGACACAAAAATTTATGTATTGAAAAGACCCATGGAAGATAGTAATTAGAGACCAAAATAGAAAAATTACTCAACGTCTTTGAAAAACTTGATTTCGAACACAACACCAACATTCGACATAGATAACATATTTTCATCGCAAAAATCAAGTTTTGAAACAAAAGTTTATGTATTAAAATTAAAACCCATGGAGAATAGTAAGTAAAGATAAAAATAAATTCATCAATCAACATCTCCAAAAAAAACTTAGTTACACAATACCACCATTAAATGTGGATAACATATTTTCATCGCAACAATCATGTTTCGAAACAAGTTAGGCGTTGTCAACAAAAGAGACATTTTGTTGTTCCTTATGGAAAAGAAACATTTAATTGACAATCTGGTCGAAAACGATACATTAATCACTCAACCTGGATAAAAAAGCTGACGTGGTCAGGTTAGATAATGACGTGGCATTATAAATTTTCTTAATTTCCTACGTGGTATATACGTGGCGTGATGTGTCATCCTTCTCTCCAAGTACACAACTACACATAGATAAATAAAAATAAAAATAATAAATAAATAATAAAAACACTTTGGAAAAAATAAAATAATAATAATAGAAAATAAAAAAAACCCAAAAATAAAAAAAGTATAAGAAATATATTTCGTTCAATTTTGTTAACTATATATTACTAAAATATTTAAATAATTTATATTTTGTTAATATATATTGAAAAATAAAAATAATTCGTTTAATATAAATATATTTCACTAATATATATTAAAAAATACTAAAAAAGAAAAAAAAATTGTTAATAAGAATAATTATATACAATTTATCATATTATCTAATATATTACTTTACATAATATTTTATTTATTTAATATAAATAAATATGTTAAATATAAATATAAACCACATATATAAATTTATATTTAAAAAAATAAAAATATTTTTTAAAATATATTTTTTGAAATATATTAAAATATTATTTTTTAATATAAATTTATATTTTGGGATTTATATTTATATTTAATATATTTATATATATATTAAGTAAATAAAATTTTACGTAAATTATTATATTAGATAATATAATAAATTATATAATTCTTATTATTAACAAATGTTTTTAATTATATTAGCGAACTATATCTATATTTAACGAAATATTAACAGAATATTTTTTTTTTTACTATTTTTTTAATATATATTAAAGAAATATAATTTTTTTAAATATTTTATTAATATATAGTTAACAAAATATATTTGTTATATTTTTTTTTATATTTTCCTATTTTTATTATTATTTTTATTATTTTTATTTATTTTTTATTCGTTTTGCTGATGTGTCTTTATATTTATTTATTTTTGGATTTTTTATTTTATTTTTATATTTTTTATCTATGTGCAGTTGTGTATTTGGAGATAATGATGTCACATCACGTCACGTATATAACACGTAGGAAATTAAGGAAAGTTATAATGCCACATCACTACCTAATCCGACCACGTCACGTATATAGAAAGGTATAATGTCACATCACGTCACGTATATATTTTTTATTTTAGTTTAAATAATTGATTTTTTTTAATTTTTCAGGTACTTAATCAATACTTTTTATATAAATTTATTACAAAAATGACTATATATATTAAAATATTAATAATTAAATTCTAGTCCAACCAATAAACATTGAATAAATAGCTTGATCGGTTCAATAACAGTACGGTTATGAGAACCTTAAATTACCATACATTAATAAAGAAAGTGGTAATGAAATATCTTTTTGTTCACATAAATATTAATAACACGGTATAAAAATATTCATAAATCGTTGAACATGTTATCATAAAAGTATTTTTAATGTGATATATATATAACAATGTATAACAAATGACAATGTGCTAAATATAAATTATATATCTAAAGATCAATTATTTCTTACTTTACGCATATTTAAAAATAAAAAAATAAAAATATCCAAAGGAAATTCCTTATTTTATTAAATATATTTAATTTACGAAATAGAAATTATTTTATGATCCATGTAGTAAATGTTTATAAGAAATGACAATATATTAAATATAAATAAATCAATTATTTCTTACTATATATTATATATATTTAAAAAAAAAAAATTAAAAATATAAAATTAAATGACTGATTATGCAATTGATATGATGACATTATACCAGTATAAGTTATTACATAGCATGTATATTTTACATATCAATTAATGTTTTTGAAGTATGTTATTCACAAGTTATTAAATATTGTAAACAAATGGTGTTAATACAAATAAAGTGCTTTTAAAAAGAAATTATATTCTTATTTTTCAAATATATAACCTACCAGTGTTTTGTGACCCGGACCGGCCCGGCGGGTCGACCCGGGACCCGGTCGACCCGGAGCCGGAACCGGTCCGGGTGGGTTAATTAGACCGGGCAACAACGGACCCGGTCAAACCCGGTCAAAACCCGGTCGACCCGGCCTTGACCCGGTCGACCCGGGACAATGACCCGGCTGGGTCAACCCGGTTGAGCCGGTCTATATGTATTTTTTTATTTTTTTTTTGTTTTTAAATTTCTTTTTCTTTTTAAAAAATAAAATTATGTATATATATTTATATAATAAATATATACATATTATTACCACTTTAATCTACAAATTTTACATACAAAATATTTAAATTTGTTATTTTTATGTATATTTATATATCACAAAATACTCTATATATAATTTTATAAATTTTAAAATTAATTATCCGGTTCAGCAATTGACCCAGTGACCCGGCGGTTGAACCGGTGACCCGGTGACCCGAAGACCTGCCCGGGTCAATTACCGGGCCGGGTTTAAAAACTATGTAACCTACTACAAATTGTTGTAACTATTATTTTATATATAGTGAAATAATTATTTATAAAATTTGAGTAATCATGATAATTATATATAACAAAAAATCTTATTTTCTTTATGCTTTTAAAGAAAAATTATTTCCCATAAAGTATATATACAATGCTAAAAAGTTAAAAAGTGAAAAAATATTGATAAAGTATACAATGCTAAAAAGTAGAAATATGAAAAGATATTAAAAAAATTTACAGAATGTCATTTTCAGTAAGTAAAAATGTTTAGTGAAAAATTACACATATTATTTCAATATTATTTCAAAACAACATGCCATACCTTTTTATATATATAGATAGAATTATGGAAAAATGCTACGGTCCCATCATGGAACCATTTCGCCGAGGTTCGTAACTGTTAGATCATCATGTAACCGTCGGGGATAGTTGATCTAACAGTTAAAATCTCGACGAAATGGTTCCGTAACGGTAACATTTCCCATAATTATGTAACATTTGAACCGAAGTTTACACAACTTTAGTAAGAAAATTCAAAGCAACCAACCTGGCAACCTACACATGAGTGATAGAATTTTAAAATTGGTGAACAAATATGTGAAAGAAGATTACAGTCACTTGCAAAGACACTATCGGATACTATCAGACAGACTAGAATCTAATTCTAATTACAGGCGCATATAGACTTTTAACATCTTAAACGCAGACATGAAAGAATGCAAAAAAACAGACAAAACTATACAAGAAAGTTCGGAAAAATCTCCAGCTATGTTTAGTTTATCTCCAAGAATATCAAACCTCGGCTAATTACCATGCACCCGATTGGAAATCATCGACAAAAAATATAAGCAAAACCAATAAAAAGCTGAAATACAGACAAAGGAGTCTGGCATCTGGTACAAAACTTTGCAAATTAAGCGAAAAATGTGGAGAATTGCAAAAGAAGTACCAGTAATGCCCAGTTTAGTTACAGGGAAAAAAAAAACACGGGTACCTCCCAAAATTACAAATGCCCCTCTTCAATCTGCATCAATTTCAAAAACTGTACCTTTCAGTGTGGGTAAGTTGTTTGACAAACACAAAGTAACTGATAACTAAACCCCAATATGCTGTTTTAGTGAGCATCCAGAAAATTAAATTAATTTTGGGACTCAAATTATAACTGCTGATTCAGGTAAGAGTCAGCATCCGATTTTCCCCCTTTTCCCAAGTATCCTGAGACAGTCCCACTAACATTCGACACAAAGTTGTTCAACCAAGACGTGCTTCTGGTCAACAAACCAGCTTGCGCCTCATCCTCAACAATTTGCGCGTTTTTCTCATCTTCCTGCATCAGTATCTCAATCCATCTTTTAGCCATGTAATCCTTAATAGCTTCAACCCCTTGGGCCACAACTTCCTTCGGAGGCACCACAAGAGGATTTTGGTCAACGTTGAGCTTGGTCAAACTCGAGAGCCGGCCAAATTTGTCTGGCAGCGCGTGAATCTGGTTATTGCTCAGGTCGAGTTCTTTGAGGTTCGTAAGGTCAGTGATTGTGTCAGGAAGTTCAGTCAAGTCACTGAAGTTGCTGCTAAGATTGAGTATCTCGAGATTGTTCAGTTTCCCGATTGAATTCGGGAGGCCATGGAGCTCGTTAAAATGGACGTCCAAAAAGCGCAGGGATTTCATCTCGCCAATTGATGTGGGCAGTGAACGGATCTTGTTTAGGTTGATCGAGAGCCGTTTGAGGTTTTTCATTTCGAGCCCGATGTTTGTTGGGAGGTATGTAAGTTTGTTGAAACTCGCGTCCAGCTCGACCAATAACCTAGAAAATAAGATTGACATAATTCGGTAAGAACGAGCACTGAGAAATAAATTTATTACTAGGAATGATTTGGAGGTAGTTACTAGTTAGAGTTTTACATGCATTGACAAATACTGTCGGGTAGGGTAGTGAGCTTGTTTCGAGAGACATCCAATATTTTTAGCTTAAACAGTAGACCGATTGAATCGGGCAGCGACTCTAAAAGATTTGATGAAAGATGGAGCTCCTCAAGATTTTCTAGTCCAGTGATTGAATCAGGAATTACCTGGGCCAGAAAAGGTAACCAAATGTTAGTGAAGTGCTAAGTTGTACAAAGAAACTACAAAATTTTCGATCTATTTAACCAAGTGAAGTGCTCACTCATCAATCACATCGAATTATGTTTAACCAAATCGTAACAAACATCAAAAGTGCAGAACCATTATCACAAACACTAAAACATAGTATTCATTGACTCATGTCCCCGGTCATCAATTGCTACATCTCATTACTGTTTTATAGAAATAGCAAAATCATTGCATCAACTACCACAATTAATATCTAGTCAAACAACAAAGTTCATTCTTAGCTTTCTATAAGAGCACCCACAATGCTTTGGGTCTCTTTTTGCATATGTGGCACATAAATAGACTTAAGTCCATAATGACATGGACAAACCCAGACGAAAAAATTCAAAATCTATCCAATGCAAAAAAAAAGGTACTAGGTCTAGTATACCCAACAACCAATAAAAATATCATAATAATTAAATGCATGCAAAAGAATATGTTTTGCCTATTAAAAAAAAAATTGTGAATAATTGATGACTAGGTAGGTTTGTACTTGGGTCCAAAATAGACCCAAGAGTGGGCTTGGTCTCTTTTTTCTAGTGCCACATAAGCTAAACCAAGTCTATTTTTTATTGCATTGGTATACATCTTTTTATAGACTAAGACTATGTTTGGTAAACCAATAAACTAGCTTATAGCTTATTTGATTAGCTTATAAGCTCCCTGTATTTAAATAAACTCTGTTTGGTAGGACGAGCTTATTTAAAAAGCTCGAACTTATTTGATAAGCTTGTTTAGGTAATTTTTCAAATAAGCTAGTTGAATTTTTTATTTCAGCTAGCTTATCAGCTAATTTTACCAAGCACTTTTATCATATAAGCTAGCTTTTCAGCTATAAGTCATAAGTTACAAGCTATAAGATCGAAAATTACTATTAAGCTATAAGCTAGCTTATCAACTAGTTTTACCAAACATAGCCTAAGTCTATTTCCTACATGGCACTTGCTTTTTCTGTAAGAGCATCTACAATGCTTTGGGTCTAATTGTGCTTATGTGGCAAGTTAATAGACTTAAGCATTGGATGACATGTACAAAAATATAAAAAAGTAACAAATTTAACTCCAATGCAAAGAGACTATGTCTCTACTTGGATCTAAAATAGACTTAAGTCTAGACCGGGTCTCTTTTTCTTGCTGCCACATAAGCGAGACCCGGTCCACTTGCATTTGCATTGGAGTACATATTTTTCTTGACTAGGTCTATTTCTTATGTGGCATGTATATTTTTGTGAAACCCAAAGCATTGTAGATGCTCTAAGAGACCCAAAACATTGCAGGTGCTCTAAGAACAAAGAGGAGAGCAAGAAACTATTCTCTCCAAAGATAGTGGAGGGGGGAATGAAAGATCGAACAGCCACTCCCTTAGACACAGCTAAGTTTTTATTATTGCCTTTCAAATCTAAAATATAGTCCCATCACAAGAGAAAGTTCCATAGTGTTGATTGACAAAATTAAGACACGAAAACTCATTGCAAAGCAGAGAAATGTACATGCATTTAAAGATTTACATGAAACTCAACCAGGTTAGGAAAATCATACTCCCCAAGGCGAGGACCCAAATAATGGCCATCAAATATTACCAGAGCAAACACTAGGCAACCTTGAAACCACATGAGAATAGTATACCAAACTAGTTAACAAAGAAAAAATGGTTCTTGTCGAGGTTGTACTTAACTAGTTACCAAAGTCCGTCAAAATCATATAGAATAGAAACAAAACATGGTTCTTGTCAAGGTTGTACAAACTACGAAAATTACTGTATTGCAAGTGATCATAATCATTCCAATCAATGGAATGCTTATTTGACATCCTCACTCGAAGATATCCAAGTAACTTATTACTATACTTTTGTCTGTGAAACAATAGAACTGCACTTTAGCCACCAAACATTATAGGAGCTGATTCACTGCTTAGCCCTTTTGTACGTTAGCCCGGCCAGCATCCCATAAGACAACACCATCATTAAAACTCATCCACATGATTTAGCTAACAAATAACAATCAAAACCCTCAGCAAATCCAGATAATCTAAGAAGACATCGACCAAAAGCAACCAACGTCTATCACACAATAGTCAGTTTAACAACATTTAAGGCAGCAAACCAAATCAATCAATTCAAGCTCATAAGTCGAGATTCATAGCACTCATATCAATTGAACCTAACCTCAAGCTGATTATCAGTCAAATTCAGCACAACCAACGACTTCAACCTCCCAAACGCCTCCGGAAGGATCCTCAGCCCTCTCTCAGACAAATCGACCTTCTCAACCGCCTTCCCGGACTCCGCCTCCTTCAATATCGCCACAACTTCTTCATTGATTTCCTCTTTCCCCACATCCCCATCCTTTCCCTCGCCTTCCTCCTCAACCGCCTCCGCCCCAGACAGCGCCGCCTCATAGATCTTCTCCAGCCGCCTCTCCGCCTCGCTGAGCATCTTCTCGTACGCCACGTGCATCTCCTCCAGCGATATCACCGACTTATAAATCCCGCACTCTTCCTGCACCTCCGCCGAGTCCGTAGACGAGTCGGCCTCAATCTCGGCCAGCCTCAGGCGAGCCGCGTCGACGGTCTCGTGGTCGGGACGGGTCCCGAGGGCTGCGAGGGTGGATCGGGTCTGCACAACGTCGGCCACGGCGCGGCGCATGTCAGCGATGAGCTTACGGTTCTTGAGATGCGGCATCCGCTCGGTGATTTCAAAGTGAGGCTCCTGCGGCTTGGGCGTCGCCTCCGGCGGGTTCTCGACGTCGAAATCGGCAGCGGAGGCGGAAGGGTTGCGCTTGAAGGTGGGCAGCTTGTCCATGACGTAGGATAGGATCGGAAAATTCTTGGGATTTGGATCCATCGCTGATGATTTTTTTTCTTTCTGTGTTTTTTGGGAATCTGAGACTCCGAGTTGAGGTAATAGAGATGATGAGATTCGAAAGGTGCGTACAGTTGACGAGCTAAAATCCATATTTTTTCATTTTGTATAAAATTAAGTTAAATTTGAGTTAATTTTGAGTTACAAAAGTTTTAGGAGATGTATTCAATTGAGATTTTTAAAGATTTTTTAAAATTTTTTAAATTTGATGGTTTTTGTAGATTTTGTAGAATTTTATGATTTTGGTGGATTTTTTTAGACTTTCAGAAAATTTTCATTAGTCTTTTTAAAACTTTCATAATGGTCTTTTTAAAACTTATTGAGACTTTTAAATACTTGCAATTAGAATACGATGTTTGAATAAAATATTAATAAACATAATATAATAACCAATATAAACAAGAATAAATAATAAACGATTTTGTATATATTAATCCTCTAAAAATTTATTGATAAACTCATTTTTATGCGAAATGAGTTATACACGAACAAATGGTTTAGAATTTTAGAATTATTAAACGAGTAAATCGATTCGAGCTTCGAGTCGAACTTGGGCGCAGGACCTTATATTTATTTGTTAAAGGAGTACAAGCTCAAATATGTGTTAGGCATCTCTGCTATTATGACACTGATAATCAACTCAAATTAAGATACATTTATCTAATTATTGATTGTTTTGTTTTTTATATTTTTTTGCATAATGTTGTTATATTAGAAAAATATTATTAGGATATATTTTTACAAGATACAAACATTACCGAAAAACAATAATTGTAGCTTATAAAATTATCAATAATATTCAAAACATTTCAATATTAACAAATAAACTATTTGAAAATGAAATAATTTTTTTAATGTTTTGAAATAAACATTTACAAATAAAAGGAAAGAACAAATAAATTATTTGCAAGTGCAACTATGGAAGCATTCACCTTTGAAAAGTCAAATTCACAAGATAACAAAATGATAGAATAAAGGTATACACACATAAAATAAGCATAATAAAGAATATATAAAATAAAAAAATCACATTAATACACGTAATGAAAATGAAAATTACACAATGTATCAAAATAAATAAGTAAAATAATAGAGAATGAAAATGATATGAGATACAAAGTCGTGTTAGAAAAAAAAGAAAGAGAGCGTGAAAAGAGTTACATAAGTTCAACAAAATCTCACGGATTTCTGTTGAGACTTTTCCTTTGTAATTTTGTTACAAAAGTCTTAAAATTTAAAAAGTCTTACAAAGTCTTTATATTTTGAATATCGAGTAACTTATAAAGACTCTCAAAATATTTTAATTAAACTGAGACTTTTAGAGACTTATTAAAAGTCATTAAAAATCTACTTTTCATAAGTCTTTAAAGGCAAAATTTCAAAATTGGTCCTATAACTTGGCCACTGTCCAAAAAACCACTATTATATTGACCACTTTCAATTTAGGTCCTATAATTTGTCGATTTCATCAATTTTGGCCCTTTTTATCCAGACCCTGGATTTAAAAGTGACGTGGCATGACGTGTCAGTTTTTTAAGGTTACATGGCGTGATTATGATCTACGTGGCACGTCAATTTTGGTCCTATAATTTGTCGATTTCATCAATTTTGGTCTTTTTTTCATGCCACGTCACTTTTTAATCCAGGGTACGAATAAAAAATGACCAAAATTGATGAAATCGACAAATTATAGGATCTAAATTGAAAGTGGTCAACATAGGGGTGGTTTTTTGGACAGTGGCCAAATTATAGAATCAATTTTAAATTTTTACCAGTCTTTAAAAGTTAGGGAAATGCTACGGTCCGTTACGGTATCATCTCGTCGGGATTTGTAACCCTTAGATCATCATTCATCATGTAACTGTCATGAATAGCTGATCTAACGATTACAAACCCCGACGAAATAGTTCCGTAACGAGACCGTAGTATCTTCCTAAAAGGTAATACGCCAGAATTATAAAAGTCTTAAAACGTCACTAAAATGTGAGAATACACGCCCTTAACAGCTGGTCGCCCATATACAGTAAATGTCTTTTGCACCTCATTACCAAAACCGTATTTCTATCACGACCTTCCCCTTTCCCTTTAGAATCTACAAACCCTAAACCTAATTTCCACTCCCCATATTTCATCATGTTTGGCAACTACGATCACAGAATACACGACGCCGGCTCTTACCGTCAGCGCCGAAGGTATGTCCTGCGTATCTGTAACAATTTCCTGATTGGATCTATTTGTTGAAAACTAATGGAGCAATTCACATTTATGGTTTTGTTAATAGATATACTAAGAGAATTTGGTATATCTTTGCTGATTTTCAGTCTACTCTCTTGTCGATTCTTATCTGATTTAGTTGAGCTGCAAATTTATTTATGTGATTACATGATCATTACATCCCCAAAATGTACCTGTAATCGCTGTTCAATTTGTAATCATGTATAACCTTTTTTTTTTCCGGAAACTGTAGTGATATCGGTCAGCCACCAATGGTTCCACCACCTATGCCAGGTGGTGCTATTCCCAGGTTTGGCCGTGGTGGCCCAACTCCATATGGGGCTCCTCCTATGCCGCCGCCCGTGCCAGGAGGCCCGAGATTTGAAGGCAGTTTTAATGGGTATCACGGGGTCGAAAGAGGTGGTCGTGGTGGGGGTTTAGCTGGTCGAGGACGCGGGTTTGGCGGTGAAAGAGGGCGTGGAGGTGGGAGAGTAGGCAGTGCCGGTGGGAGTTATGGCGGTAGGCGTGGTGGAAGAGGTGGTGGATCTAGGGCCGATGACTTGGATAGTATTGCACTCCCAAAGCCAGATTTTCGAGGCTTGATTGAGTTTAGGAAGAATTTTTACGTGGAGAACCCATCGGTAAGGGCCATGAGCGAGCACGAGGTTATGATGTATCGTGCACGGCGGGAGATTACTGTTGAGGGCCATGATGTCCCTAAGCCGGTTCGGATGTTTCATGAAGCGAATTTTCCGGGTACTTCTTTGAATTTTATATTCGTAAAGATTTTATGTATTGATGAGAATTCCGTGATCAATGAAAAAAATGACTATTTTTTCACATGGGTTTGTATTAAATATCACTGTGGGTTTCTGTTATAATGATTATGGTTGTTAATTTGTGCATGTAGTTTGCTCATGGATTTATAGGGTTTTGCAGGTTACTGCCTTGAGGTCATTTCTAGATTGGGTTTCGTTGAGCCCACACCTATCCAATCACAAGGATGGCCGATGGCTTTAAGTGGGCGAGATCTAATAGGCATCGCTGAGACTGGGTCGGGAAAGACACTGTCGTATTTGCTGCCTGCTTTTGTTCACATTAGCGCACAGCCCAGGCTGGGTAAGTTTTATATCGTTATTATTGTCTTGATGTGATCTGTACTTACCTTATCTACTAACCCTTTATGACAATGATATAATAATTTGCAGTCCAAGGTGAAGGTCCAATTGTATTAGTGATTGCTCCTACTAGAGAGTTAGCTGTTCAGATTCAAGAGGAGGCTGTAAAGTTTGGTTCATATGCGAACATAAGGAGTACTTGCATATATGGTGGTGCCCCAAAAGGACCACAAATTCGTGATCTTAAACAAGGTGATTATCTTTTTCCATTTCGCTGAATATTTTGTTTCTTCGTGAAATTGTGCTGATAGTTTTTGGCATTTTTTTTTGCTACCTCCTTTCTAATGCCAGGAGTTGAAATTGTGATTGCTACACCTGGTAGACTGATCGACATGTTGGAAGCTCAACATACTAACTTGAAAAGAGTGACATACCTTGTGTTAGATGAAGCTGATCGTATGCTAGATATGGGATTTGAACCTCAAATCAGGAAAATAATTTCTCAGGTTTAGATTTGTTCACTTCATCTGCTCTTGTTTTTCTTTTTCTTAGTCTTTTGTTTGTTTATTATTTTCCATTTATTCATGACAAAATTTGGGTAACTCAAGTTTTGAATCTTCTGCAGACTCCTCTATCAACAGCGTGGTATATGAATAAGTTTCATGAAAACATAATGCACTTGATTTATTTTGTTTGCTTAAAGTATCATATTTTGAAACATGTGAGGCTTATTTCTCAAAATGCAGATTCGTCCAGATAGGCAAACCCTGTACTGGAGTGCAACATGGCCACGGGAGGTGGAAAAATTAGCACGACAGTTTCTTCGCAACCCATACAAGGTTTGTGCTATCAATTACCCCCTTTCACAATTATCTTTCTTCTAGAAAAATATCAACTTCAGTTATTTGATCTATTTGGCTCTAAATAATGCATTGAGTATATATTCGTTAAATAGAATATCGATATATAACCTTTGATGTCTTTCATGGATAACAGGTTATCATTGGGTCTCCAGAACTGAAAGCAAACCAGTCCATACATCAAGTCGTTGAAGTCATGACTGATCTGGAGAAATACAGAAGGTGGGTGTATTATTGAAGTTGTATTTTTATGTCTATTAACTGATTCATCATTAGAAACTATAGTTTCTTACTGTATACTTTCCCTTCAGGTTGATTAGATTGCTGACGGACATGATGAATGGTAGTAAAATTCTTATCTTTGTGGAGACAAAGAAAGGATGCGACCAAGTTACGAGACAGCTGAGGATGGATGGGTGGCCGGCTTTGGCCATACATGGTGATAAAAGCCAGGACGAAAGGGATTGGGTCCTGGCAGAATTTAAAAATGGCAGAAGTCCTATAATGATTGCCACTGATGTAGCTGCTCGTGGCCTTGGTAGGATTAGTCTAACAGTTTAGGGTTTTTAGTCTCTCATCTCGATCTACATAAGCAAGTCTACCGGCTGTTTCTCCATGTTTCTTGAGTGTATTGTGGTTTGGGCACAGAAGTTCGAATATTTTTGCCTACGGCCGCTCATTAATTTTTTCCCCTATTGAGTGGTGCCCTAGACATCGTCAGATTGCCAATTTTGGGGTTCGGATATCAATTGTATTTTATCCACCGTAGAATGGAGCCCTGGCCAAACGGTGACCTAGAATTAGTAACATAAACCAACTTGAGCTATACGGGCACAAGGGGCACATTTTACCAATGGCGAGGGACATTGTTGTCCAAGTGCTAAAACTTATGACGGCGGAATAGTATATATAAATCAAGGGGTTGATTGCTGCTACTATCAATTAGATTTCACCCTATAGTTGCAAAACCCAATTAACTTCCAAAATTGCAAAAAACCCAGTTCTGTAGGCTTTGTTTGTTAGCTTCTATATCTGATATTGATCCTGATGCTGATAAATGAAGTTGGGCATTAGATGCAGGCATTGGATAGTTCCATGCATTTTACTTTCACATGCAATGTGCTCCTGGTACGTGCCCACGTAGCATGATATGAAGCTAAAGTGCCCATCCACACTTGAGGAGCTGGTAGTTGTGACAGCCGGTTGACTCGTTCGAGATTATGCCTTTGATTGGACAAAATGATTTTTTTTGAGATCTCTGGAGGACCTTATCCCTGCAAAGTAAGGTAGGCACATTTTAAAAGATGTGTTTAATCTTGAGCATGATCGAGCTTGGATCTTAGGATGGCAGGGATAAGGCGGGCCCATATTGTCTCATTTCCATTTTCGTTTAAAATGTCTTTTAACTGATGTGATTTGTATTTGTTGTAGACGTGAAGGACATAAAATGTGTTGTGAACTACGATTTTCCGTCCAGCCTCGAGGATTATGTTCACAGGATAGGCCGTACAGGCCGTGCAGGGGCTGTAGGAACTGCTTTCACGTTTTTCACCCATGCGAATGTGAAGTATGCACGGGAACTTGTTAAGATCCTGCAACAAGCAGGGCAAGTTGTGCCTCCTCAACTTGCTGCCTTGTCCAGGTCGAGTGGCTTCAATACAAAGGGTAAGCTTTATAGATTGTCAGGCTTCACCGTATGCTGGAAAATTATCGTTAGCTTTATATTACGGTTGCTGCAGAGTATTTTATTTGGGTTTACTTCCTTTTATTATCATTTATTTTCTGGTCGTCATAAGATGATGTTTTCAGTTTTAAAGGACCCATTTCGAGAATGGGTTGTTCAATTGTTTGGATAAATCAAATGATGGAAGCTCGTAAGATCTTAGTAGTTGCAGCCTTATGATTTATTGAATTATGTGTTAATGTCGAAATTGGTTTTTTCATGGCAGCATCTGGAGGCAACTTTCTTTCAAGAGGACGAGGAGGTGGTTTTGGCAATCGAGGTTTTGTTTCTGGGTCTAATTCTACTCCTGTTGGTAGCAGAAGGCCTTACTAGTTTTTACTGTGATTTTAATTTGTGTGAAACTATTTAAGGTCCATGATATGTTACACAAGCTTTCCCTTATGCAATGATCTATATGGCTTTTGAGCTTGTTTTGTTGTACTATAGGACTTCATTTATTTCTTTATTTTTTCTTTTTTTTTTTTAGATGGTTATCTTGGCCTGGACATCAAATGCCTATCTGAAGTATATCATATTTAAATTTGAAGCATGAGTTACCCTAAATTATGCTACATATTTTTTTATTTTTTTTTAAATTTTTATTGGAAGGCTAACTGGTAATAAAAAACATTGTAATAAAAGATGTACACTGCATTCCATGGCTTTACATTATAAGTGGTTAGTGTTTAAGATTTTTAAAGTATGACAAATGGAGCTATTTTATTGTTCAATTTAATTAGAATTTTTGCTCGATCTTAAAAAACGTGCAGTCTTACTACGGAGCTATCGGATGATTCGGCTTATGGAGTCATCCACAATTATTCATAAATGATGTATTGACACGTGTCTTACAGTAAATATACATCGGACATATGTTATTATATCAAGTTATGGATGACTTTATAAGGAGTCATATGATGATTTCATATAATTTTTGCAAAAACATGATCTGTTTGATGTGATATTCAAAAGTTTTTTTTTTGATAACACAAGCAGTGTTTTAAAGGCCTAGGCGACGCCTAGGCGTCCAGGCGATGAAAATATCAAGGCGTCGGGTCTCGCCTAGTCAAGTGCCATATGGCGTCCGCCTCGGCGCCTAAGGCGTCCGCCTTTCGCGTTAGTCGTCGCAGGCGTCGCCATCCAGCCTTAGGCGGTCGCCATACGCCATGCGGCGGTCCCCTTCTTTTGCTTGCATGTGGTGGTCCCCTGCTTTATTTGTTTGCATATAAAACAGAGCAAATAGCACATCACATGGGTACAACTGTTGCTTTGTCTACTTGCACTTTGATTTGTACTAGATCACATGGTTATAGTTGTAATTTGCTACTTTGTGTGGTGTCCTATGCCTCTATAATAGCACTGCATATTTATGCCTATAATTGGCTATATTAAGGTTGGATTGACATTTGAATTTTTTATTGGTATTAAATTGTTTATATGGCGTCGCCTAGGCGATCGCCATATTCGCCTAGGCCTCCGGAAGGGGGTCGCTCGCCTCGCCTCGCCTTACCGCCTTTAAAACTATGAACACAAGCCAATTTAGTGAAGCATAACTTATATTTAAGTAGTTTCATAGTTCAATATACAGTTTCTTACATTTTGGTAGAGTAGAAATCAAGTCAATTTCCTTACCCACCAAAAAATTACTTCAAAACTTAAATTACTTGGATGAAATTTCGTGATTAATACAAATTTTGGACACAATATCGGACCGAATGCAATTTACAATCACCAATTTGTTTTACGTGAGACGGTTTGATTGCAATATCGGACTGAATGCAATTTACAATCACCATTTTGTTTTACGTGAGACGGTTTGATTGCAATATCGAACCGAATGTAATTTACAATTACCAATTTGTTTTATGTGAGACGGTTTAATTGTCAATTGACAAATCATACATTTTTCAAAATATAAATTTTTCAGAAATGTCATATTTTTATTTATGTTAATTTTTAAATTAATGATACTTAAAATTGAAATATTTAATAATGAGTCAAATTTCACCTAAATCGTGTTTGTAAATCTGCACACCCATCAGGGGCATTACTGTAATCACACGCTATCACCCCCTTCACGAAACCCTCACACAGTCTCACTTCACATCCTCTCTATATAAAGCTCACCCAAACCCTAATCCTCATTTCCTTCCAACAGCGCCTCACCTTTTGATCCCCCACAACCAACGCAAGTCCATTCTCCGATCCCCCTCCAAACCAATGACGACCCGATTCAAGAAGAACCGCAAGAAGCGCGGCCACGTCAGCGCCGGCCACGGCCGTATCGGCAAGCACCGCAAGCACCCCGGCGGCCGCGGGAACGCTGGAGGCATGCACCACCACCGCATCCTCTTCGACAAGTACCATCCAGGCTACTTCGGGAAGGTCGGCATGCGCTACTTCCACAGGCTGAGGAACAAGTTCCACTGCCCAACGATCAACGTTGACCGCCTCTGGTCCATGGTGCCGCAGGAGGTGAAGGACAAGGCGTCGAAGGACAACGCGCCGCTTGTCGACGTGACCCAGTTCGGGTACTTCAAGGTCCTGGGTAAGGGTCTGCTGCCGGCCGACAAGCCTGTGGTGGTGAAGGCCAAGCTGGTGTCGAAGAACGCCGAGAAGAAGATCAAGGAGGCCGGAGGGGCTGTTGTGCTCACTGCGTGATTAGGTTAATTTTGTTTTTATTGCTTGTTCTTTTTATAATTTTGCGAATTTGGTTGGCTGTTTATTCCGGATCTCAGGTGGATTGAGATACTTTTATTAAACATTTCAATGAAAGTTTGGGATGACAATGAGTCTGATTTTGGTTATACCTCTATGGTTTTTCCAATTACAGTGCATTTATCCATCTTCGTATCCATTCCTAATTCTTTTTATTCATGTGATTGCTTAGCTGTTGCTACTGGTATGAATTGTGAGTGATTGGTGTCGGTGATAATTGTGAGAATAATTGTGATCCGTGTAGATGGATTTCATTTGGTTTCAGTTAGCTGGTATTTGTCGATTTTTGTCCAAAATTTGATCTATATGCTGTGCTGTAGTTGAACTGTGTTTTGAGTGATATTGGGTATGAATTATGATGTATATATTACTCTACTCATTGATAATCATCACTTTGTACCGAAGATTTGTAGTGTTAGAACAGATTTATCGTGCTAGACTTAAGATTCTTGTGTAAAAGAATTTGAGATCAGACTATACGATTGGTGACTTTATTTTGTTATAATAATGCTTATGAAAGCACAAGTTTTATGCTACCCTTCATGATGGACATTTATATCCTTTTTGTATTTTTAGTGATATGTAAGGTATATATTATTCATAGGTAATTACCACTATGCATTGCAGATTTTTAGGATAAGGCAGACCTTAAGTTGATTGTGTTAAAGAATTTGAAACCAAACTGTAATTTGTGGCTCGATTTTGTGGAAATTGGTTATGGAAGTTTTAGTTTTTATGCTGCTCTTCATGAATCTTATATCCTTTTAATAGTTATTTGTGATGTTTGTGTGCATTTTGTATTGGGATATATAAAGAATATGGGGTGGAATAAGTCTGATGTATGTGTATAGAATATATAGAATTCTAGAATATATATAATTAGTAATGCTCACCTACCCACGGTGGGCACATTTAAATATGCCCACCGCTTATGTGGCATTCACTCATTGGTGAAGTATTTTTTTGAACATATTAACATCACCAATGTATGCATGCCACATAAACGGTGGGCATATTAACATGTGTCCACCGTGGGTAGGAGAACATTATCCTGTATATAATATAGAATTCAACTTAATTTATTGATCATTACATAGAATTCAAATTTTCCGGCTACTTGTTACATAGCTTTAATTTGGTTCTTTGAAGTATAGCATGCCAGGTAGTTCCCAGTCGTTTTTTCCTTAGATCTTCACTTGCTTGAATAGGCTGACCCTATAAAGCTTCATGTAGCTAAGTTAGCCGAACCCAAGCCTGACGTTGTTTTGAATCAGTGTGTGCTTTAAGAATTGTTATTCTTTCTCTTCTCATAAAGTATTAAGTATGCTCAAGATAGTGTTTTGATGTGTGTCTGTGTTTGTGCTTTCTTAAGAATAATTTGTTTTTACATGTAACATCTTTCATGTGCATGTATTTTGTTCTCCTCAAGACTAACTCTTGAGATAATATTTAATTATTCTTTATGAAAATAGATACGGAGTGCCAATCAGCCGGTCCTGAACTTTATAAGCGGAATGTTCTAAGTGTTGCTATTGGTTGTTTTTATTTTTTTTTATATAATAAAAAATGTAACTTGCAATAATAAAAGTAGAGAAACTTAAAATTAAATAGCTAAATTTTATAAATAATATTTGATAAATTATTTAAGAATCGCAAACAATAAAAGCGAAAATCCTTTTTATTCAAAGAAAAAAAATGGCAGTTAAAGCTCTAAACATTCATTTACTTTAAATATGTGACAAAAGTTTAGAGAAGTACATAATACTCAGTTATAGTTATATATATATATTTAACTAGTACAAATCCCGTGTATTACACGGGTATTTGCTAATTTTTTTCTTAAAATTTAAAATTATTGAGAAAAATGTAGTTGAAAATTTAAATGTTTTTAAAAATATTTATATTATTATATTTAGTATGACACTTTTTTTTGTGCAACTTACTTGTGTTATATTATAATAATTTTTAACTTACAACAGATAACTACATTAAATATAAATATATCAATTGAGAACCAATTTTATTTTTTTAAATGAATTTTAGTAAATATTATTATTTTTTATTATTATAAAGATAAATATAATTTATTTATTTCATATATACAATATGGATGTCAAATCGAAGATTATCAAAAGATAATTAATTTAATATTTTATATATGTAAAACCAATAATAAATATAAGAGTTATCAACTTTTAAAATACATTTACAATTCAATAGTTAATTGTAAGAAACAAATCAAAAGCCAGAGATATATTAGTCACTTAGTGATTCACTATCTAAAATTACAAAGAATTAAAGGGTATATTAGTACAATTGATATTAAAATACTTAAGTCAACTAAATAATATTTATGGAATGTCTTAACCTAGATTATTAATTATTACAATTCAATAGCTAATTGTAGGAAACAAATCAAAAGTCAGGGATATATTAGTCACTTAGTGATTCACTATCTAAAATTAAAAAGAATTAAAGGGTATATTAGTACAATTGATATTAAAATACCTAAGTTAGCTAAATAATATTTATGGAATGTCCGAACCTAGATTATTAATTATTAATATATAATATTATTTGTCCAAACCTAACTACAAAGCATGATTTTTTGCCAAGTAGGATTCCGAAGCACCAGAAGCAGCCACGTAGGCTCAGCGCATTCTGGAATTATATATAGGGAGGATTAGAAAGTATTAATTTTTAATTTATATTTAACAACGTTAAATAAAAAATCAAAATTAGAAACTCGTCTGAAATGAGTTGAATTCACTTAACTTTTTTATTGGCTATCACTAACATAATTGAATTGTGCAATCATAAAATAATATTTTGTATATTCAAGCAAGAAAAAAAATTAGCAAAGTATTAAAAGTATAAAAGAAAATATGAAAAAAAAATAACAATTTCACTATTAATAACTACTATTTAATTTTGTTATTAAAATTAGAAGATGGATAAAATATAAAAAGCCTTGTTAAGAAATAAAAAATTATGATTTAAAATTAATTATATATTCAATATTATATTTACATAATTACTATATATAAAAATATATTAAAAATTATATAAAAGTGCGCCCCGGGGTAAGAAGGGGCCCTGGATGGTCGCCCGGCCCGCCCTACCCAGGGCCTGCCCTGGTGCCAATGTAAGGTCTATAGTATGGCTTCTTATTTGGAGTCAGCGAGCCTATACATCCATCCTTATTGGTGATATTGATGATTGCGATGCATTCATTGTATTTTTTTAACCTAAGCTCATAATCAACTAGCCGATACATCCATCCTTATTGGTGATATCGATGATTGCAATGCAGTCACTGTTTTTTATTGTCGGATCGAACTCATTCATATATTCGATAGACCTCTAACTATTAGAAGTTGGTAGAATCAATATAAATTAATATTTATTCATATTCAGTAACCTTATAACTACTAGAAAAATCAGTCATCGAGATTTTTATTGTTGAATCAACAGATTTGTATTTGTTCATATTCAATAACACTATGACTACCAGAAGTCATTCATAGGAGATTTTTATTGTTAAATCAAGACATTCATTCAACGAGCGGAAAGAATATGTACAAGTATATATTGATTTGCCAAATTAGTGGCTTCAATAAACATTTTAGTCATTACAACAAAATACGTTGAATTAATACGCAATGCTTGCATGTGTGATATTGTTAAAGTCAAAATCAATATTGAATTGATTTTTAATTTTTATTATTAATCGACATTTGGACAAACATTGGACTCTAATATCATTGCAATCCATGTAACGAATTCGTTTTTTGTCTATTTATTTTATTTTATTTTTATCTAATATCATTGTCAAAATATTGCTTACATTAATTTATACTTACATGATTACATCCATATAGGACCCAACTTTATAACCCTAATTAACATGAAATTATCATTTAATTAACCCCAAAATATTCTAATATAATGTTGGTGATGTAATCATGATGCATGGAAATAGGTGTAGTTTCTAAATTAAGTATCACCTAAATGCCTAAAGTCATTGCAAAAGAAAGAAAAATTAGGTTTTACCATGCAAATTCTAGTGTTTAATGGCCACAAGCTTTTTCTATCTATATTTTATAGCTTTTATATAAACGAAACGTGATGAATTTGGTTCGAAATTCGTTAAAACTCGTATTCGACTATGCTCATTTCGAAAATAAACAGAACTCAAGCTCGTAAGGCTTTGAAAAAAATATTTTTTTTATATAAATTTTATAACTCGATTCATTAATATTGATAAACGAGCATGCTCGGCTCACCAAACCCTCCTTAACTTAGCGGCTATCTTATTTGGGCTCACCCACCACTTTTTTATATTAAAAACGAAATATATATATTTTTTTCCCAAAACAGAAAAAATAAGAAATTATTCTATTTTCTGAAAAAATAAAACCTTCGCCCCCTTTAGGTATTGTTTGGTTCAAGGGATTTGGAGGGGAGGGGAGGGAAGGGGAGGAAGAATTTTAATTTTCCTTTGTTTGGTTGCAAAACTAAGAGGGGAGGGAGAGGAAAATTTTAAGTAATTTTCCCTCCCCTCCCTCACTTTTTCTCCCCCCAAAATTGGAGGGATTTGGAGGGGAAATGTTATTTTATGATGTTAAATGACTATTTAGTCCCTACTTTCAATTGCTTTTTATTTTTTATCTTATTTCATTAGGGGTAAGTTTGTCATTTTAATTTTATTTTCCCTTCATTTAGTTTTTGAACCAAACAAGGTTTACCATTTTCCCTCTCTTCCCCTCCTAAATTATCCATCCAAACAAGGTAAAATTATTTTACATCACCTCCCCTCCCCTCCCTTTCTCTCCATTAAAATCCCTCCCCTCCCTTCCCCTCCATTGAACCAAACACACCCTTAGGAAACTCTCTTATCACTGATAAGAACTGATGCACAGATAGATCGCGTAGCCGAGCAG